CACCTAGTGATCCACAAGAAAAATTTTTGCTTTCTGTTTCTGCAACTTTATGCTTTGCTGGCCTAGAGTTTTTAGTTCCAGGGGGATGAATGCTTCCACCAGGAGACACAACAATGATTCCATTGAACTGTAAGTTAAGATTGCCGCCCTGGCACTTTGGGCTTTTGATGTCTTTGAATCAACAGGTAAAAAAGGGAGTTATTATGGTGGCTAGGATGAATGATCCTGACCATGAAGGGGAAATTAGACTGCTACTCCATAAAGGAAGTAAGGAAGAGTATGTCTGGGATACAGGCGATCCCTAAGGGCATCTCTTAGTATTACTATGCCTTGTGATTAAGGTCAATGGAAAACTACAACAACCCAATCCATGCAGGACTACTAATAGTCCAGACCCTTCAGGTTTACCCCACCAGGTGAAGAACCATGATCATCTGAGGTCCTTATGGAAGGCAAAAGGAATACAGAATTGGTAGTGGAAGAAGGTAGTTATAAATATCAGCTACAACCTGTTTTCTTTCTTTTCTTATTTCCTTATTATGTAATATAAAATTATTGATTTTATATCATAGTATTTAAGTATTGTTAATTTTACATCATGGTATTTAAGTTATAAGACATCAAGGGAGGGGTGCCTGGGTGGCTCAGCCAGTTAAGTGGCTGCCTTTGGCTCAGGTCATGATCCCGGGGTCCTGGGATCAAGCCCCGCATCAGGCTCCCTGCTCAGCGGGTAGCCTGCTTCTCCTTCTCCCTCTGCCTGTCTCTCTGCTTACTTGTTCTCTCTCTCTGTCAGATAAATAAATAAAATCTTAAAAAAGAAAAAAAAGACATCAAGGGAAGAGTAAACATCACTCAAAGAATTACCTCCTCTTCTAGGGAAAATGTTTGTGTGTTTTTCTTTGCACATAGGACAGTTTATGACCTTGTTATTATCTTTATTTGGAGATTAAGTATGGTTTAAGGAGATGTATATGGGGTGCCAAGCTGACAAGGGATGGACTTGTGATGGTTAATTTTATGTGTTAACTTGACTGGCCATGAGGTGCCCAGATTAAACATTATTTCTGAGTGTCTTTGTGAGATGTTTCCAGATGAGATTATCATTAGAATCAGTGGGCTCACTAAAGTAGATTGCCCTCCCCACTGTAGGTGGGCATCATCTAATCCCTTGAGGGCCTAAATAGAACAACAGGCTTGAGAAATTTGTTCCTTTTTCCCCCTACCTCATTTACTTGAGCTGGGCCATCTCACCTCCTTTCTGGCCCTTGGACTGGGATTTGTACCATTAGCTCTCCTGGTTCTCAGGCCTTCAAACTAGGAGTGAATTACATCATTAGCTTTCCTGGATCTCCAGCTTATAGGCAGTAGAGCATGGGACTTCTCAGCCTCCATAATTATATGAGTCAATTCTTCATAACAAGTATCCTTTCTGTAATAAGTATACTTTTTAGTAAGTGTAATTTTAATAAGTCTATATCTATATCTATATCTATATCTATATCTATATCTATATCTATATCTATATCTATATCTCCAGAGGCCACTGGCTCGGTCTCACTCAGGGCCAGGCACTGATGGTGACAGAGGGGCCACTACCCAGGTTGGGCTAGGCCCAAACCTTGTCTTACCCAGACAGTGAGAAGCCCCAGGAAGGTGGGGAGTTGGAAGCAAGGCAAGAGGGAGGAAGAAGAAAATCAGACTCACATTTTTAAAAGCAAGTCAGGTTTCATGTAATTGAGTGTCTTGGAAAGTAGCTCAGGCTTACGATGATGTTGTATCTGCGACCATGAATCACACTACATGCCCAATGAAGCTAAGCATTGCTGGAGTCCAAGTTGTCCATAATAAAAGCTTACGTCTCAACAACAACAACAACAACAACAACAAAAATCTATCTCCTACTGGCTCTATTTCTCTGGAGAATCTTGACTAATACACCCTTTAAATTAAAGAACATGTTTTGGCACCTTCAAGTTCCTACCACTTAAAAAATAGGCACAACATTTGTTAAGCCTCTTTGTATTTCAGTAGTGGCATATACCACACTTGGAAATATTGCTCTGATCCGTTTGTTGGATAATGTGGAAGACTTCCAATTTTGAGTGGGGCACAGAAAAAGAAAGGGCTATAGACTAGGTCCAGGCTATAGTACAAGCAGCCCTGCTTCTGGGGTCTTCTGACTGAGAAGGTCCCATAGTTCTAGAGGAATAGGCGGTAAGATACTACATGGAGTCTCTGGCAAGATTTAATAGGAGAATCACAGTGTAGAACCCATGTTTCTGGAGCAGCCATCTATAGCTGAGTCCTACGTCATTTACAAAGCAGCTCCTGATCTGCTACTGGTCCTGGTAGATATTGGTCATATGAGCATGGAACACCAAATGATTACATGACCAGAGCTGCCCAACATGAGGTGGGTGTTTTCAGACCCACTAGGTGGTAAGTTTGGGTGGGCCCAGGAGCAATCAATCACAATGGAAGTGGTATATCCAGAAGCAGGTATCAGCAGGTCCTGAGGGCACAAATAATTCTGACAAATAGGTGGCTTAAATCCGCATGTCACCTAGCTCTATGGCACGAATGCTTCTCCCTCAGTTTACAACTAGAGCTTTATGAGTAGCTGCTGGAGGAGGAAAAAATACTGAGCTTGGTTCACAGATAGGTCTGCTCAGTAGGTTATTTCAGTAAAGATCATTCATGAGTGGCCCAGAAGAACAGTGGTAGAAAGAAATTCTTCCAGTAGGCAGGGTTTTGGGCAGGGTAGCTGGTTATCCACTTTGTCTGGAAAGAAAAGCGGACTAATGAATGGACATATACAAACTCCAGGGTAGTGGAGACTGTTTTATCTGTTTAGTCAGGGATCTGAAAACAGCAATATTGGAAGACTGAGGACAAGAGGATGGGTTAGAGGTGGCTTGGATGGACTTATAGGAGTGGGCAAAAAGTGTTGGAATTTTTCTATTGCATGTTATTGCCCACCAGACACCAGCCAGTGGTAGATCAAGTGAACAAGATGACTTATCCAGTAGATGCCAGCCATCTTTTGTTTTTGGCTACCCTAGAGTGCTGTCTTTGGCCTACCAAAATGAACTGGATATGACATGGTGGCAGAGACAAAAGACATATGTTCTTCTAGCTATTGTGGCTGAATGTGCAACTTGTCAGCAGCAGAGACCCCTACTATAATATGATGCTGAACCCCTAATGTAATACTATTCCTCAAAGAGACCAACGAACAACTTAGTGGCAAATTATTTACACTGGACACCTTCTGTCATGGAGAGAGCAGTGATTTGTCATGACTAGGATTTACATGTATTTCTAGGTATAGATTTTCTTTCCTGCCTGCAGTCCTTGGCTTCCTTGCTATCCAAGGGCTCACAGAGTATCTGATTTATCTACATGAGATCTAGCATAACATTTCTTTGAACCAAGGAAACTACCTTACTGCAAAGGAGGTGTAGCAGTGGATAAATGATCATAGGATCCTATCATATTACAAGGTCCATCATCCAGAAGCTGTGGCCTGATAAAGCTTTGTAATAGTCTTTTGTAGACATAGCTAAGGCATCAGCTTAGAAATTACATCCTGTGAGTCTGAGCCACTGTCCTACAGGATGCACCATATACTTTGTGATGGTTAATATTATGTGTCAGTTTGTCTAGGCCATGGAGTCTAGGTATTTGGTCAAATATTATTTTGGAATGTTTCTGTTTTTTTTTTTTTAATTTTTATTATGTTATATTAATCACCATACATTACATCATTAGTTGATGTAGTGTTCCATGATTCATTGTTTGTGTATAACACCCAGTGCTCCATGCAGAATGTGCCCTCTTTAATACCCATCACCAGGCTAACAAATCCCCCCACCCCCATCCCCTCTAGAACCCTCAGTTTGTTTCTCAGAGTCCATAGTCTCTCATGGTTCGTCTCCCCCTCCGATTTCTCCCCCTTCATTCTTCCCCTCCTGCTATCTTCTTCTTCTTCTTCTTCTTCTTCTTTTTTTTTTTTTTAACATATAATGTATTATTTGTTTCAGAGGTACAGGTCTGTGGTTCAAGAGTCTTACACAATTCACAGCACTCACCATAGCACAGACCCTCCCCAATGTCTATCAACCAGCCACCCCATCCCTCCCACCCCCCACCACTCCAGCAACCCTCAATTTGTTTCCTGAGATTAAGAATTTCTCATATCAGTGAGGTCATATGATACATGTCTTTCTCTGATTGACTTATTTCACTCAACATAACACCCTCCAGTTCCATCCACGTCGTTGCAAATGGCAAGATCTCATTCCTTTTGATGGCTGCATAATATTCCATTGTATATATATACACCACATCATCTTTATCCATTCATCTGTCGATGGACATCTTGGCTCTTTCCGCAGTTTGGCTATTGTGGACATTGCTGCCATAAACATCGGAGTGCACATACCCCTTCGGATCCCTACATTTGTATCTTTAGGGTAAATACCCAGTAGTGCAATTGTTGGATCATATGGTAGCTCTATTTTCAACTTTTTGAGGAACCTCCATACTATTTTCCAGAGTGGCTGCACCAGCTTGCATTCCCACCAACAGTGTAGGAGGGTTCCCTTTTCTCTGCATCCCCACCAACATCTGTTGTTTCCTGACTTGTTACTGTGAGGGTGTTATTGGATGAGATTGAAATTTGAATTGGTGAATTTGCCTTCCATAATGTAGGTGAGCCTAATCCAGTCAGTTGAAGGCCTAAGTAGAACAAGTCAGCCTTTGAAAGATTCTAGAGCAATAAACCATGTTGACTCTTCTGTCTGAGTGGCTGTATCCTTTTATGGGTCACAGAGCCCTTTAAAAATCTGATGAAAGTGCTAGATGTTCTCACTAGTAAATTGTATATATGAATCTTACACAGTTTATTTTGCATATAAATTCAGGATGGATACTAAGAGAAATCCTTATTAATCTACCAGGTTAAAAACTCTTTTCTGTATCTTCAGTAAAGGAAGGTCCTGGTTTTGTTATGAAAGCCAAGATATCCACAAGAAGTCAACAGATGGAATCAGTTAACACTGTAGTATCAAGGTTTGGACTAAGACATATGTCTCTCCCCCCCACTCCCCAGATCATCCTATTTAATCTTCCAGAAGACAGAGATTTAAAATGTGCCAGAAATATTTTATTTGACTTTATAAGTAGTCACTAAGAGGCCTAAACAGCATTAGATTTACCATCAATGGAATGCTTCCAGTCTGTTTAGATTCAGAGCTGTTTTCTTCTCCTTCTCCTTCTCCTTCTCCTTCTCCTTCTTCTTCTTTTCTTCTTCTTCTCCTTCTCCTTCTTCTTCTTTTCTTCTTCTTCTTCTTCTTCTTCTTCTTCTTCTTCTTCTTCTTCTCCTTCTTCTTCTTCTTCTTCTTCTTCTTCTTCTTCTTCTTCTTCTTCTTCTTCTTCTTCTCCTTCTTCTCCTTCTTCTCCTTCTCCTTCTCCTTCTCCTTCTTCTTCTTCTTCTTCTTCTTTGAGAGGGAAAAAGGGAGAAAGAGCATGAACAGGGAAGGGCAGAGGGAGAGAGAGAATCTTAAGCAGGCTCCATGCCCAGCACAGAACCTGATACAGGGCTTGATTTCATGACCCTGAGATCATGACCTGAGCCAAAATCACGAGTCAGTCACTTAACCAATTGAGTCACCCAGGCGCCCCTCAGAACTGTTTTCTTATCTAACAAGTCTCTTCTTAAATGTCATTCAGGGAAGAAGTGCTTAAGCATCCAATATCTGAAGATATTCCATATTGGCTATCATAATATTCTCTTAATTTCCTTTTTACCATATTTGACACTAGCAATTGTATTACTGGTTGATTTACCTGTGTTTGTTGACTGTCTCGCCCTAGAGTTTAAGCTCAATTGAGGGAAAGACCTTGTTTACCTTACATATCACTGCATCCCTAGTGCATTGTATAGTGCCATACAGAAGTTAGAGCTAAAAAATATGTGTTAAATGACTGAATAACACATTTGCAGAGTTCATGGTAAGACTCAAGCTTATGTAATTTTCTTAAACGAGTACTTAGGAAAACTATCTGGGTCATTAATTGTGTTTGTAATAAATTCTTTTCTTGATGATGATGAAGATGTTAATGTCAGCTGCCCTTGCAGCTGCTGGGTGGTAAACTGAAGTGAGTTGACCAGAAGAAATAAAAGGACACGCTAAAGCATAGTTCCAAACAATATCCTTTAATCTCTGACTATTGGGAAGATCAGCCACGGATAAACTAGTCTGTGTGCCAGAATCCCAAGGGCACTGGCAAACTATGAGCAAAGTCAGCTTTTGAAGAAAGAAAGGCAAAGTCATGGATAGCAACAGATATTGCAAACCATGATCACAGTTGCTATTGAGAGGATGGGCCTAATGTGGATATAGAGCACACAGCTCTGTTCTTCTCTCACAGGTTTCCAACTAATTTTTCCAACTAGTCTTTCCAACTAGTCTTGGGAAACAGCCCTGTCAGCACTATTAACTTCCAAAGGGAAAGACGATGATGTCATACTTACTCATTTCTATCTATTTTTTACACAGCTCTAGTTTATCTAGAAATACATGGAGAGACATTTATTGTAATTATTATAATACCTTTCCCCCCAATACTTTAACATTTATTTTATATAAGTGGAAAGCCCATACCATGTAAACAAGACTTTTTTTTTCACATGTCTTATGTTACATGGTAAGTCACAGTTTATTATTTGTTGGAGTGTTCATCTTGAGCATTAGGACACGTGCGTATTTCTTGCTGTTTACAATTTTAAACAGAACAAAACCTCAAATTAAAAAAAAAAATTAAACACGTGCTTGTAAAGGCCATCCTACGCTTTTGTAACCAAGGAAGTACCAATCATCTTATGAACACACATACACAAAGAAAAGAAAAAGAGAAAGACAGAGACTTGGCTTAACATTTATTGTTCCATTTTGCTCTGGCTTGATTGTTTCCCTGGCCCACAGCTAGGACTGGAAAGTTGTGGCTTCTTGTATCTGAGGTTAAGCTGATGGCTTTTATTTCCTGCTTCAACCATAAGCAAGATATCCAAAGAGTATGTTTGGGAGGACCTGTTTTTTAACTCTATGTCTTGTTTTTAGGCCCATGTCTCAGTCCCATGGGATATGGAGGAGTCTGGGCAAACTCCAGAGACAGCTTCAGTGCAGAGAACCTCCAACCGTGAGGTCACATGTACACATAGTTATTTTCATGGAGTAGGTGGCAAATTCTCAAGATAATCTTGTTTGTGGGATACAAGCATTTCTAGGATATATTCATAGCCAGCTTAATACCATAATTAGCCCCAGAGTTGGAGTATACCGGAAACTTCTAAGCTATGGGCAAAGATTGAGTTAGATGTGAAGGTAAGCCGGGCTGCTCTCTACTGTGTAGTTAAAAACAAAAAGTGGGCACAGAGAGAGTACTTGTTCTGCCCTTTCTTCACCTACTGAATTTTCATTTCCCCTTCCCCTACCCCAGAGGTCTAATAATGGACTCCAACATCCCGTGTTCAACAGAGCTTTAAAAATCCACATGGAGTCCAAAACTGTAGTAGGAATTTGGGGTTTGCTTTTCTTTCGGGTTTAATGTGACTTCCTAGGTTCCGGATCCTTCGTAATATATTTCTTAAACCGCGGATCGTGGAGGTGAATTCCCTTGGGGGAGAGTGGCTCTGCGAGTTGATTAGCACCATTTGCCTGCTTCCTCCATCTCTTCTGCTCAGGTATTAGTTGTGAGGACAGCTGTGCCTGTGCTCTGCTCCCCAAGTCCCTCGCTCCATTTTAATGTGAGCCAGTGATGCAAAGTCCCCAGCTTGGCCTGTCAGAACTTGATAGCTCTGTAAACACTGAAATCTTTGTTGCCATAACACCAGGAAAAATAATATGGGATCCTGCATATAAACATAGTGGAGGCCTTGGGAAATGGGAGCATTTCTAAATGACTTGAAGCTCTGTCATGGCATAATCTCTTATAAATGGATGACAAGGTAGTGGCTGAATGCAGACTGGATTTTTGCCTGCCTATGGTGCTCAGCCTTCTAGAGAATAGTTATGCTAAGGGATTATCTTTTAACATAGTGCAGTTATCTCCTTTGTTTGTTTTCTTTTTTCATTATTCACATAAGCCAAGGGAAATGAAAAGCATCTTATTTCAGGCAAAAGGGCCTGTGAATGATTAACTCTGGTTCCATGCATTGGGACTTTGCATAGCAACCCCTTGGCTTACAACTAGAGAAAGACTCAAGGCAGCAACAGCAGCCCAGGGACCCGAGACGAACATTCTCAAACGGAGGTAGTGAGGAACAGATTAAATCGAAGCACTGTGTTTATGAGTAGAATTCTCTGTAGCTGGCTCATTTAATTTTGCATTGGTTTTATTGCACTTTTCTTGGTGAAGGTGTGTTTTGCTGACCTTTACTTCACATTTACTCTTGCATTTGGAGTACCCTTGAGGATCTAAGTGAAACTTGGTCGTGATTAGGGCGTAATCTGGTTTAGGCCACTATATTGTATGTTTTCTCCCTAACACTATCCAAAGCTAGACTAACCCTGGCTAAATTTTACATTAAGAAGCAAAATTAATGTAATGGCCTTAAGTTTTAATTTCAGCTCAATGAAATTTTTGTTGGTAAATTTTGGCACTCTTGTGATGATCTATAGTAGAAAGCATTATGTGAACGGAAGAGAAGGAAATGGTGTGATTATATGGTTTCAATTAAAAGGCTATGAGTCTGTAAAGGACCCAGATTATGCAATATGAAGGATGAAATCAAGACCAATTCTATATCTTTTATGGACATTTGGTGCTTAAACGTTTATATAACCAGGTTCATTTTCATCCTGAATTAAAAGACTCAGAAGAAAATGAAATGTAGGCTAAGGACAGAAGAAACATTGGAGAATTTTGGAAAATGCGTATAGTTATAATGGAGCCAAAATATTTAGGACACTTAAATTTAGACTGCAAGTCAATCCAGATGTTTATTTATTAACGTTAATAATGTTTCCAGTCTTGTTATAGAATACCAAATCCCGGGGGGTTCCACTTCTGAGTTTAAAGACAAATGCATGGTCTTTATTCTTTTCCAGTTGTGTTTTAATTTGGGAAGTTTTCCAAAGCCATGATTTTCCTGTAAAAGTGTTTGCAAAATCTTGAGCAGCTCCTGGTGCCTAGCAGAAAGTCTGAGTGAAACATTGGGTCTAGCAAAGCTTTCCCCTTTCTGCATTTCTCTTCTTGCTTCCATGACAATAAAGAAAGAAACTTGGCATAAGAATATAATCTGTTCCTGCCTGTTTCTCATCTGAAGTCGTAAACCTCTGCCATCCCACCCAAGACTAGAATTTCAGCTGGCATGAACAGCTGTCTGCTTACAGGTTTATTCCGGTAGTAACCAAAGACAAAACTATTTTAATTGAAGGCCCTAGGCTGTTCTCCAAACCCTCACAATCTTTGGGTCATTCCCAAGAGGAAACCATTGAGGAAAAGGTACACATTACACCCTTTCTTATAGTTTTGACACACTGTATGTTTATGAAGTTGAGAACATTTTACCTTCTAATTTTTCTAGAGAGGATGCCATAGAGAAAAGGAAGAGGTCACAAATTCAAAAGCCCAAAGGCTCAGGCACACCAGCTATGTTAGTGGAGAGTAGGCTGTGGTGTATGGGAGAGGGAGTGTCTTGTCTAAAGGAGCATCTGCTGCTCAGCTTCCGTCATAGTTATCATGTGGGAATGTGGAACCCTGGGGTAGCCAGATAGGCTGGTTTGTCAGCAGAAATTCCTGGTCCTGATTATATGTGAATTCGGTATGGTTTTAAATGTTGGCAATTAACTTGAAGTGAAGCCAAACATTGTGAAGGTCAATCGAAACCTGGCTCTTAAATGTTTGGGCTGCCAGTGTCCGACCCCCAGGCTTTGCTCCTGATTCACTGCAGGTAGACTTTGCATATCTCAGCTTTGTAGGTTCTAAAACTGTCAGGTGATATAATATATTTACACATTTCCCTTTTTATTCTAGGTAGTTCAGCATAAAGAAGAGAACACAAGTTTTGGAGTCAGGGAGATGTAGATTTTACTAGTTCCAGATTTTTACCAAATTGTAACCGGCACCACCTTAATCTCTTGAAGCCTCTTCTACAACACGTGGAAATGAAAACCTAGTTTACAGGGTCTTTGGAGGATTAAATAAACTGTTCTCCATATATAAAATGCTTTGCCTGGCCTATAGGTGCTTTTTGCATGGGTGTTACTTTTCTGATCATTATCAGCAGGTGATCCACTTTGGAAGACACAAGGCCTCCATGAGTTTTTCTCAGAATAGGGAGAGGTTTTCTCTGAAGGTCTAATATGGTATACAATACAAGTAAATTGTATCAAGAATCACCCTGAAGGCCTTAAAGAATTTGAGAATTTTAGAAGCAGAAAAGACCTTGAGGAGACAGAAACTTCAACAGTTAGAAGTGAATGGAATCATCAGTTTTATTGTAGACATTATCTGGAACCATGGCAAATGAATAATTTCCCTGAAATGCAGTAGGACATGTGAAGAACACAACTTGTTATGAAAATAAAGCCAAAGATCGTATCTGGAACTATGTTGTGAAGTGAAAGAATGTAGGTTAATTTTTTGTTCCTCCTAATTTCTGTGGGATTATTTACTTGGAAATGAATGGATGAATGTTGCTAGAATATTCCCTTATTTTGTATCTGGGCAGGTCTGCTATTAGGGAGATTTCTTCTCTTTTAGCTGTCAGTCCATGATCTCTGCATGATGGTGGCAAGGGGCTGCTCAACCAATTGGGGTGCATAACTGATATTTTCTCCTCCTTGCTTTCTGTTCAAAATTAGGTGCAAGTTAAAGCTTCAACATTCAAAGGAAGAAGCTTCCTTCCTTCCTTTTTTTGGAACAGCTGCAAGTAATAACAAAACAAAACAAAACAAAACAAAACAAAACATTCAGTCTTACACAGTCCAGTGGTAAAAACAAAACAGAGTAGTCATGTAATATGGTTCAATGTATCTGGTGTCTTTCACATGACATATCCTCTTGCTTGATAAGGGCTCTTTGGCAGCATGATAGGGAGTGGTGTCATTGTGTGATGGATTATTTGAAGTGTTTGTCTATGAGCCCTTGATATATTTACTGACAAAACTCTCTTATTCCTAAAGCTTGATGGCATGGGGTCTTGTCATACAAGAGTCTCAAAGTCTCTCACTGACATTTAAGAGTGGTAAAGAATAATAATAATATTGACATCTACCATGAGAGAGGAATTATGCTAGTTGCTTAATGGACATTGTTTATAATCCTCATCACCCTTTATGTAGATCTCTCTCTCCATTTTACAGAGGGGTAAATTGAGTCTCAGGCGTAAAGGGCTTCCTCTGTTCACATAGATGGTTAGGTGAGGCTACGATTAAACCAGGTTTGTTGCTTTAGGCTTTCTACCCCGTACTTCCTCAAATATTTTAGGGAATAACTTGCCCCACTTTTGGGAAATCTAAGTCACTTAGAAATCATCAGCAATGTCAGAACCCCCAGCAATCTAACAGCCAAGCCAGAAATAAAACAAGCTCATTTGACACATATTATAGGCATAATTACTTAAGATCCCTTGCTATTTCTTAGAAGAGAAGGAAATTCTCTCTCTTTTACATGCTGCATTAACAACAAAGAAAGAAATCGAAGAAAAAATGGGGGGCTAAGCAGTAGAATAATGAAAGATTGGGCCTGACAAACACATAAAGAAACTAGCCCTTCCTCCCCTTTTTTCTCTCATAAACTCAGTCTCCTAAAATGAATGAAGAGCTAATAAGTTAGACTGTAGAAAATGTCAAGGACTAATAGTGTCTGACATTCTATAAACAACAGTGGTTGTTTAGTAAATGTTGTGTGAGCAAGTGAAGTCTTTGGTAATTTGCTTTTATTCTTTCTGGAGACCTTTCCTCCAAGTATTTTTTTCAATCCTGGTTCAGCCATCTCCACCTTAAGAAGACTGTTAGATGTTGAATAAGTCCAAGGGCCGTTCTGGATATAGAAAGAAATCCCCATACACCCCAGGAGATAAATTAGCTTGATAAACAACAATGTGAAAATGGAGTGTGATGACCCTTTCTTTTCCTTTGGCAAAGGATATTATGTTGTTTATTCATGTGCCCATCAAAAAATGAGTTTACTTTAGAACATCAGGATGGGAGTCCACAAGAGTGGGAAAAAACATGTGAAGTGCAGTTCTTTGAAGAGAGGCAAGATGAAGGCAAAGCAAAATCACAGAAGGCTAATCTTATCACTTACATTTGTTCACAGAGATGAAATTCCAGGCTCCTTACCTTCACCGTGGCTATTGATATCACTATCTCAAGAATCATTTGGATTAGTGGTTCTGAGTTCCCCAAGGAGTTTCTGAATCTGAGCCCCTGGAGAGAAGGAGAGACAGAGGTAGAACTTTTTCATTTTAAATGATCCACAGATAGTTCTGATGTGCAACCCAAGTTAGATAGCAGACTTAGACCCTTTAGGCAACACTCCAGAGTTCCAGGGTTGGTTGGTTCGTTATTTATTCCAAATGAAAATGCCTGACTATGCTATGTTTACAATAGGTACCCAGTTCACAATAATGAAAGTACAGCAAAGAGATTCTCAAAAAAAAAAAAGTATGAAAGTATACTTCCCTTCAACACACTATGATTTATAAACTAGATATGATAAAATGGAAATAGAATCTTTAAAGAACACATGTAATTAAGATAAAAAATATTAGTATAGTGAGATTCCTGATCAGAATTCAGGGGTGGCAGTTAGTTGAAAGTTCACTGTGCCAATGTGCCTGGTTTGACCCTGATGATTTTTCATCCAAGAGGCTAGAGATGCTGGCAGCAGAGTTATAAAGAAGCTTGAAGCTTTTGGAGTAATAAAAATTTGAGAGAGAGGGAGGGAGAGAGGGGAAAGGAGAGCTCCAGTATGAACTGATGCAAAATGAATATACCTCTATTGAAAAGAAGAGGAAAGAAGGTCAGAAGGAACTAGAAATGAACCAGTAAATGTGGGATGCTCTGAAACTGTTGAGGGCATATGACTGGAGAAGGACAATTAGGACCTAAGATTGAGAAGTGACCTTAAGGTCAAGGTAGAAAAGGACCCAACAATGCCAGAGAGGCATGACCTGCAGCAGGAAGTGAAAATAGAAGAAACCAGTGAAGATACTGACCCCCAGCATCAGGGCTAGGAAGGTTGCCTGTGACAAAAAATGGCATAAACACAGAGAGGGCTTGGACAAGACTAATGCTGCAACCCTCTGTCAAGCCAAAGAACATGGGACTATATACTTGGAAGTTCACTCTTGTGGATATCATTTGTATCCTAACAGTCTTTTTTATTGTTGTAGAAGTAGTTGGACACTTGAAAAGACTGTGTGGGCTGGATCCCCTAGACATGCTGGGTATGGTGAATGGTCAGAGTTGAAGGAAGTTCAGAGGCGAAGCTCAGAGGCATGGTCTTCGGAAGAGAAAAACCACTCTCCCTTAAAAAAATTGTCTAGTGGCTGCTGCAAGTTATGCAAGAGAAGGAGTATCTGGGAACCTGACTAAGAGAACCATGTATCAGAGCAGGAAACCTTGCAGACTAGAGCAACAGATTCAAGAGCTTAGAGGAAAGAAATAAGAAGGCATGTTAGTGACATTTTGAGGAAGAAGCTTGAGAGAACTTGATGGAGATAATTCATAATAGAAGGCTGAAATAACTCAAGAGCAAGGGCAGATTATCAACAGAAGTCAGGAAGAGGAACATGAAGGAAAACAGTTCAGAAAGCACTTCGGAGAAGGGAAAGCTGAGTATGGAGCTTAATGCCCAGAAACACCCAAAGGGCTAATCAGAGACTCCTTGAAAGACAATTCAGGGACATGCTGGCTGAGGTGGTGATCCTGAGCTGCTCAAACTGAAGTGAAATGGAAAGCCCGGGGCCAAATGGGTAAAAATCCCTTACTACTCCCTCTGGAATCTCACAGTGAAATATCAGCTTGGATCTAGGGAAGGAAGGAGGTGAGACCAGATGGAAATCTACAAGGAGGAGGCTTTTGGGGACATAAAATAAAAGTAGTGCAAGAGAGCCCCTTGTGGAACTTTCTGAATACTCAAGACTGTTGCCAAGTAGGGACTATCTACAACTCAAATTTCCTCACAGAACAGAAAGATTATGTGCACATTTAGTTATCTGCCTGTGTTGGACTGTGGTAGAGGAGGGGATAATACTTAGGAATACCAGAAGGTGGTAAAAGGCTATAACCAAAGGATGTAATTCTTGGAAGAGAAACTTTCTCCTTACTGATCATGAGATGATCATGTTAATTAAGTTTAGTGCAGAGGGAGAACCATAATGAAGACTTTCTGTGGAGTTATGGTCTTGACAATAAGAATATTTTAAATGAATTGGTTAAAGAGCATAAGAAATTGCATAATCATTAAAGAAAGAGAATCTGTTTAATTTCATATAAGGATATAACACAGAATCTTTTTTAAAAAATTAGTATGACATACCCAGAAGTAATATTTGAATTACTGGGGGTTTTCCAGTGGAAGGAAAAATTTACATTGAAAATGTCAACTTCACAAAGTGAAGAAAAATTGTTTAGAACTATTCATTGTTACAGGCAGGCATACTCTGTCCAAGATTGTGTCCTGAGCAAGAAGAATTTATGGTGATTTGAATTAAGAGGACACTGTGTCTTATTCATAAAAAGTGCTCAGTATGTATTTGTTGAACAGATAAAATAAAAGTGCTAAGTAAATAAACAAACTGGTGAATAGATGGAATACATGGTTGTATATTCCATTTGGGAAGTCTTCCTCCAAGACCGGCTAGTTGCCCTTCCACAGACTCCCATACTATCACGTACATCCCCTATCTTATCTTACGGTGTGCTATGCTCTTCTACTAAACCATAAGCTACTTAAGGGTAGGGACTAATTCTTATTCTTCGTGAAAACTCCAGTACTGACCACAGAAGATTGAACACAGTAGACATTCAAGAACTGGTTGTATAAATGAATGACATTACTTGGAAGAGTACTAACTTCACACAAATGTTAACTTAGCATTATACATGAAGGAGTAAAAGAAGTACTTTTAAAGAAATACTTGAATAGTATCTAGGAAGTCCATTACAGAGATATAAGACAGGAGCAGAAGCACAATTTGAACAGCGTTATTACTATAATTTGAACATATATTTAGCTTGGAAAAAAAGAATGTTATGATGCAGAGTGAACAATTCTTCTCCTGGAAATGGAAGCTAAAGAATTGAGGATGGAATTGTAAAACTACTGAAAACACAGTAGGAGAGTGTCCTCGCCAGCTCCCAACCCCCAAATTGTCCAAACTCTCAAATTAAACATGGATTATTTCTTCAAAAAATTTTCCCAGAGGAAAGCCAGCATCTATCTCCCCCTACTGGTGTCATGTTAAGAGTGATGTCTGACTTATTTTTTTTCTTTTAACTGAGAAATGCTTTAATTAAGATGAGTATTTTCATTTGTTATATGGAAAAAAATGCTTATGCTTAATATAAAGCTTAAGCATCCTACAGTGGAGGTCATGTTGCAATGAGATTTACCAAGATCTAGAGTATAAATTGTTTTATCACAGATGAAGAATAGTTAAATATTGTTGCTAGTTCATCTGCAGTTAACAGATTTATATGTTAGCAGATTATAATTGGCTGACACAATAGTATTTTTAAAAACTTTCTATTATGGGAAAATTCAAACGTACACAAAAAAGAGAAAAATGTAATGAACTCCCCTGTGCCCATTATCTAGTTCCAACGAAGTCATAGCCAAGCTTGTTTCATTGTTTACTTCTCCAAGGTCCCACATCCAGATCATTTTGAAGTAAAGTCCAAGCAATCACTTCATCTGTAAATATTTCAGTATGTACCTAAAAGGTAAAGATGCTTAAAATATCCCTATAATACCATTTTTATGCCTATTAACGATAGTTACATCAGCAAATATCCAGTCAGTGTGCAAATTTCCACAGTTGTTTTAAAATTGTAATTATTCATTTCCCAGTTTGTTTGAAATAGGCTTTTAACAAAGGCTATAGATTATAATTATTTGATATGTCCCTTAAATCTCGTGGAATTTATGAGATTTAAGTTTCTTCCTCCATCCATTTTTTTTTGGTAATATTTTTGTCAACAAAACTGCATCATTTGTTCTGAATAGCATTCCACAATCTGGAATTTGCTGACTGGGTCCCCATGGTGTTGTGTAACACATTCCTCTGTCCCCTGTATTTCCTGTAAATTGGTGGTTAGATCCAGAGGCTTAATTTTATTCAGGTTTGATTTATTTTGTTGGCGAGGTTGTGTACTTCTATCACACAATGTCTGGCAGCAATTGAAGTTCATTGTCTAGAGGAGACTTTTCCAGAGCAGCACTTTCCAATAGAAATTTCTGTGGTGAGGGGCATGTTCTATATTAGTACTCTCTATGTTCTATATCTGTTCTATATCTGTATACGGTAGCCACCAGGGACATGTGGCTCTTAAATGTGGCTAGGGTGATTGAGAAACTACATTTTTAATTTTTAAAATTTTAATTCATTTAAATTTAAATGTAAATAGCCACATGTGACTAGTAGCTACCCTATTGGGTAGTATAGCTGTACACCCATTAATTCATCAAAGGCTGCCAAATGATAATGCCATTATTCTATTATTTTTCAACATTTAGTTGTTGTAATATTTTTGTAAGGAGAAATTTCCTCTTATGTTGTTATCATAAGGTTTAGATCCTACAGAAAAGGTTGAAAAATCGCTTAATTCTTCTGTATTTCTCAGTTGTGAAAATAATGAGTTGTAATAAATAAATAGTAATTTGAACTGCTCTTTATAACCGTGAGCTATATATTAGGGCAGTTATTCCTATGGTAGAGCTGTCAACTGGGGCCTTGCTCATAGACAGGGGGAATGAAGAGAGTGTTCTCAAAAGTTCTGAATCTCAAACACCTTCAGCCCCCCACACTTCTCCCACCTGCAGTTGGAACCTCCCTCTGTGCGGCCTCAGAGCCCATGCCTAGTGCCTTCTGTGTGGACCAGTTTTAGGGAAATGGCCTTTGAGACAGTGCCTCTGCTGGGCAAGAAAAAGCTGCCTCTGGACAGAAGCAACACCAGGTAATCAGCCATTTCTAAGGAGTCAGGAAAGGACTTGCCTTTGAAGAAAGGCTAGAAATTCAACTTCACATGTCCTCGAAGCTGTTTCCACCTTTCCAGGCAGGATGTTCTAACAGTACTAAGCAGTAGGTGGAAACGGAGGTGTCCCAGGCTGCACCGTCTAACCCTCAAAGATTTGGCTCTGAAAAGGAAGGGCCAGACTGAACACAGCCCAGTCATACCAAGAGGGCAAGGAAACCGAGAACGTGCTGCTGATTTGTCAGTCTCTTATTAATAAAAGGGTTTTTTTTCTTTCTTTTATTTTCTTTCATATATTACCACCCTGCCTATGGAGATGGTTTTCTTGCTGTGGGTTTTTATAGTATGAGGCTGCTTGTGAACTTTGTCTCTTTACAATAAAATGTAATATCTATTGGATATTAAAACTGCTTGCTGGCTAATAATGTCAGTCATTTATTATGGATGCATTACATATTTTCCTAGTGTTTTATTTTTAGTTTTTCTCAGAGTCTTGAAGCGTTGGGTTTAAGGTAAGGTGAGCGAGGCACTTATCTCAGGGATAAAATTTAAGGGGGTTTCAAAAACTTCAGTCATGAAGATAAATGCTATTTTAATGCAATATTGGAAAAAATCAAGGTTAATGCAAAAAGCCCCCACATGATAAACACTGTATGAAAATTTTTTAAAAAGACAGATCTGATCCTGCCCTTGAACAGCTCCGTCTCACTTGCCTAACCCTAATCCTGGCCCTCCAATAAAACTTTATTTGCAAATCAGGCAGCTAGCCTGTGGGGCATAGTTTGTTCACGTAATTGGTAATATTTCTAAAAGTATTACATTAAACTATTACTTACTTTGATTGCCACATTTTTTGGCACCCCGTTACATTTTGCATCCAATTCTTGGCCCTGTTTTGGAGCTAAATTTAAAGTTTATTAAATCCCACCACATCACTTCTATAGGTAAGGCTTATGTGAAAGCCCATGGTTGAGCAGATAAGAAATAATAGAGCTGAGATTTGTAATGGTTTTGTGTCCTCTAACACCCTAGTTACCTTTGTGAGGATAAGATTCTTGACTCATATTATTTTTTTTCTGATGCGATGCTATGTGTAGAGTAGCCTCCTTGACACTTACACTTGCTATCATCCTGCAATCTGAATTTCATTAGTTATCTGTGCGACCTTAAACAAGATAATTTTCATTATCTTTTTTTTTTTTAAGATTTTTTGTTTATTTATTTGACAGAGAGAGACACAGCGAGAGAGGGAACACAAGCAGGGGGAGTGGAAGAGGGAGAAGCAGGCTTCCCGCCGAGCAGGGAGCCCGATGCGGGGCTCGAACCCAGGACCCTGGGATCATGACCTGAGCCGAAGGCAGACGCTCAACGACTGAGCCACCCAGGCGCCCCGATACTTTTCATTATCTTAATCTGTCTACGTGACAGCCAATTTTGTGTCAATTAAAAAAAAAAAGAATCGAAATGAAGAGAAAAGAAAACAAAACTCTGAAGCCAAAAACCAGTGGTGTGCCCCAGCATGGGCAAAATAGATGATGAAGCATTTGAATATTTATTTATTTATTTATTTATTTATTAACTAACTGGTTTGTGGTGGTGTACAGATACAAGAAAAAGTACTCTGCCGAGTAGGAGTTTGTAGAATCCATCAGTAAAAATTGAATGATATCTGCAAAAGATATTTATACTTTGGATTTGGTAATTATTAGACAAGGTAGTTACTGTTTTCTCATTTTCTCAAGAGGTAGGAAAAGGTAAGAATTTTCGGTCTAGTAACAACCACATAAAATAGCAAAAGGTACTGGCAGAGGTGATGGGGGCAAGGGAGGGAGGAGCTGGAGGAGAGGAAAGCACAGTCATCCTACATGGTTTTTTGGTTAAAACTGGGAGAAATTTGTGGGTTTCACATCCGTCAACTTTCATTATTCTTGTTCTCATCTTCTTTGATTCATATGGTTTCAGTTTCTTTCCAAATGTCTTTGGTTCAAAACTTTATGGTCTTGAAACAGAGCAGTTGAAAAATGTTGACAAAAAGTTTTGGAAGCAACCCCTGAATTTTGCACAATTTTACTAGCACTTACTTCTAGTGTGAAACATGGTGCTACTCTACAGTAAATGTGGGTTAGGAATGTTTATGTCATTATCATGTAGCCACTTAAACAGAGAAATAAGACCATGATGTTATGTATGTTTGCAGAAAATGAACTTATGGAGAGCAAAAATACAGAGATTTTCTCTGTATTCCTTAAGGGACAGAGGCATATTTTATTGTGTGGAAAATAGGACTCCCCTGAACTGGAGGAGAGGTAGCTATATTGCATACCACTGACTTGTATTTGATATTGGATTTAAAAAATATTAACTTTAAAAAGCTTAGGATATCTTTTGAAGCCATAGTGAGATGAAATAAGATGAAACAGGAAAATTACTGAGAGATGGCATTGGCTTTTAAAAATAAACAAAAAGTGTGTTTTCTTATGGAATCATAATTATATGGATAGCATAATAGTCATCCTTTGGCTTACTTGTCTGCTAACCCCATGATAGAGAATAAATTCATAGTTCAATTAATTGCATGCATTGTATATATTAACACACTGAAGGAAAATGAGCTATCATCATCATCCAGAGGTCTTTATGGGGTGACTAAAGTGCTGACTTTATAATGTCAGTAAGCAGACTTCCTACTTCTAGGAACTTAGAACTAAAATGAAAAAAAAAAAAAAAACATTTGAAAAAGAAGAAGCGGACAAAAAGTAATCATGCCAGGTGCATACAGGATACAATAGAAACTACGTCATCATTCATTCAGAGTTCATTTATCACCAGATACTGTAATAAATACTTTAACTATAGTCCCTCAATTATAGTCCAATGGAGGGCATAAAGCAGAGGCATCCAGTAGTTGGCTTTCCTTCAGGACGGAATGGCACAAGAAATAGGGAATAGGTCAGTTGGACGGGAGTGGAAGATTTTCATAAGGTAGTTTTGGAAGGTTGGCTAAGCTGGGACTGTATTGCGGAGGACACTTTAGGGCAAGCTGAGGCATGCTGGCTTTTTAATGTAGGTAAAGGAAAGCTGAAATAATTCTGAGCAGACAGTGACCTGTCCGAGAGCTGTGAGTGGCAGAGACAAGTGAGTGTGGGCAGCACTGGGGCCACTTTGCCACACGGTGAGAGGCTGAGCAGGCTCAGCTTTGAAGGTGGCACTCTTTTAAGGCTCTCTGAATTGTAGGTACAATTCCCTAGAATAGTCCTGGCAAGTAGTGATTTTATTGCTTTAATTATCAATAATTCAGGATCGCAGATGTTTTCTCTGGTTTGCTGCCCATCTAAAAGCATCTGACTTTGTGTGACATAACTGTGGAATAAATAAGACATTAAGCATTTAGAATACGCTAACACTTAGTGACGGTTTGTGGTGATATTTGAGAAAAAGCAAATAAAAGTATTCTTCTTCTCTTCTTCCTATTAAAAATGATTTCTTGAGAGGACTAGGATTTCAGGAGGTCCTTGAAGTGAGGAGGGGTGGCCACTTGTGACACTTTTGAAAGAGCAAAGGTATTTATTTGCTCCCTCCATTTCTAGTCCACACGAGCCCTGTTCCCCCTTGCAGTCAGACCACCCTCCATTCCACTCCAACCACTCTCTCTTGAAGATTTCTAAGAAAACCGTCTTTCCCCCTTCCTCGTTCTTCTCAAACCTCTTAAAGCATTTTGTACCAATTGTTCACCTCCTCTCTT